CATGGACTGGGATTAGGGACCCCTGATATAGAGACAGTAATTTATTAAATGAGCACCATGTTGTAGATGTTAAACTTAGCTAATGATTTAATCCAGCTCAATCAGAAACTCTTGAGTTCACTGGTCAGTTCTCAAACTGGTAACTGATGATTTGTTTGGTCGAGTAAAAAATGAATTTTGAACTCTACATGGTCAGTAAGAGCTTCAGGCAGTAGAACGTGTATTATTGTCTACACCAAATTAACAATGATTCCTTTTGCATCTATTGGACCTATTTTCTATCCTTTTGTGCTCAGAGATGAAAAAGATGACATCATTGAGAAAGACGACCTATTGAATCCAGACAGCTTTTTATCAGGTGGGAAACACATGCTGAACCTTTTTACAGTGAATCCTGCTCAAGAGCAGTGCTCTTTGTATAAATTCAGCTTCTCAGTTTTGCTGTCAAACATGTTTGTGTTCAGGTGAACTTGGCATATCAGCTGTGTCTCCACCTCAGAGGAAGCTTACGCCAGAGTCGAGGCTTATGCCAGTAATTGGTACACCAAATCACTCCACTCCCAGGTTTATACCAAAGCCACTTTCTTCAGCGGTAAGCAAACGGAGTTAATGCTGTATTCTCAGTGCATCACTAGTGGCAAGCAAGACAAATATTGTTAATCTGTTTTAGGCTCTTTGTGACAATATACCCCTGAGGAACCTGGGAGGTGTTTTTGATTCAGTCACTGACTCGCATGATTTAGGGAATGATTCACGAAGTGCAAGTCCCACTCCATCGTTAGTCAGCAACAGGTCAGTAGCTCCAGTTACGTGCACATATTTTTTTTCTGTTTGAAGAGCTAAATTGTTTATATGGACTGTGATTTAATGTACTTTGGGTTGTATATATAACTGGAACCCTGACATTTGAAATGAGCATGTCATGTTAGAGATTCTAGCTGCCGGTTCATTGCTGTGTTACTGATACCAGTTTTCACTGAAATCATACAGAAATAGAAGTAAGAGTCTCCAAGAGCTTTTGGCCTATAGGAGTTGTTTCAATGTATACTGACCTCATTATTTGAAACTGTGGAATTAATAAATTACCCTCCAATATAACCTCATTATAATGAGTAAAAGGGAAATATGAATTGTTAAAGGGCATCTTTCTGTTTTTCCTGCCTTCAGCTCAGTGTCAGGCCGTCAGCTGTGCAATGGCATCACAAAAACAGGAAAAGTCTGTAAGAAGAGAGCCGTGCCAGGACAGGAGTACTGCAGAGTCCACGAAGGGGGGCACTCCTCGTATGTCCAGTTTTAACAGGCTCAGCAGTCTTTGTTGTCTGTAAAAACTGTATACTGTAATGAAATATTGTTTGTACTAAGTTCTGTCTGCACTGCCCAGTAAGTAAGATTGCTGAATGAAAATTACATCTGTAGATATTTTAAATGTTTTTAGACATTTATTTAGCTTTTCGTGTTTAATAAAAATGAAAAAACTCCCATGCTCTTTATTGCTTTCAATGTACCAAGGAGAACATGGAAACAGGCAGTAGCAATGTGACACAGATGAACATGTATAGCCTATTCATGGTGGTAACTGGTTCTATATATAGATGGAGGGAGAGAGTTATGTGAATTTGAGTATGTGTATTATATGGGTATACAAAAAGTATTTACTGCATGGTTTGTTTCAGTAAAAGCTGTGGTGGACGTTTTAGTAGAGACAACATGTAAGAAATGGCCTGTGAAAAGCTGCTCTGTAGCACCTACCAAAGGGAAGGAACTGGAAGAGGTTGTATCCTGGGTGTGATGGATCTGAGTGTTTCCTAATTCTGAGTTTGTACAACTCATTCAGATAGCACCCTGGGTTATAAATAAAAAAAATAATTAGTTCATTACCTCTGGAGAACTTCAAGACTTGTTGAGGAGGTAATTTAGCCATTTAAATCAGCTGTGTTGGATCAAGGACACATCTAAAACCTGCAGGACACCGGCCCTTGAGGCCTGAAGTTTCCCCAACCCTGATCTTTACACTTCTGTATACATCAGGGTTCTGTGTCTGTTATAAAGTGAAGCATGAGTAGTAGTGCTGTCCAGCAGAACTGAATCCTTGTTTTGACGGCATATGAACATATACAGAAATAAATCTCAATCTGTGACATGTCTTTCATATCAAGGGTAGGACACTTGAGACACATTGCAAATATAAAATATTTATTTTGCTGATTCGTTTGAAAAAAAAAAAAACACTAGCCCACATAATGCTCAATTATATAAGCTGGATCAATCAATACCCAAACCCTTCAATAACAAACGTGAAGTCAAAACAATTCTGATTTCTGAATGTTATGTTGTGCCAGCACCTGGATTACAAGATTGAAGCAGCCCATTTCCCAGCTGAAATGATTAACGCTACCACAGTGAATAAAACTCTGAAACTTCTTCATACGGGTCGTAGAATAGACGATGACATCATTTTTCTTTTACTGAAGGACAGTGGACCCCACGACCTGTACGTTCCTAAAACGTTCCACGCTCAGCTGGATGATCTAGTTTAGATTAAAACAGTTGGATTAAATCTGAGGTGACTGAACTCTTCCTGCTGGTAACACTGATACTGGATTCTGATTCCTTACAGCAGCTGGACGGATTCAGCAGTGATGACTTTAAGGCCTTGCAGTACAATTTCTCAATTTTATTTTATAGCTGTGTTGAGCCGTGAAAGGAAATTATTTTTGTCTCCTACTACACACTAGTAGTAAATCTCATATGTGTATTATTTCCTATTGACTGAGGGGCACCTCTAAATGCAAGTACAGAAGTATGCTAAATGATCATGATTTTGCAGTGGTCTCTTGAAAATGCTTCTCTAACACTGAGTCCACAATCACAACCATAGCCAGTATACAATAGATGGACTTCACTACTGTGATTTTACCCTTTGTTTAGTGAAGCTGTTGCGATTTTTGCAATCATCAATTTGGTGTTTTGAAACCAGATGTGACGAGGTAAGGTACTGACTTGTCATTGAACGTCTCTTTATAATCACTAACACTTGAATCTAGCTACAAAGCTCAAGCTCATAAGGAAAGTGTTTACTGAGGTCACAGATTGTGGATGAGCAAAGATTTCTACATGACTGGACTGCTTTTTACAATTGCAGGAGTCACCCCCTGCTGGTCATTAAAAAGAATGCAGGTTTAAGGCACTTCTGCATTAGCTCACAATTTAGACCCTGCAGCTACACCCACCTTTTATACACAGACAAGGATTCTAACCAGTTCCTCACACAAGAATAATGCCACCATGGCTCGGTGGCATCATTTCAGTCCAATACTTTTCAAACTGGTATTCTGACAAATCATCCACGATTTAATCCAGCTAAATAGAGTCCACGTGCAGAAAAGGGGTCCCAGGTGCTGCACACAACATTCAGCACAAAACAGTATGGTGCTGCAGAGGGCAACAACAGTAAGACTCAACACCAATTGCCTTGTGTTTGTGCTGTGAAGCACTTTGTTTAGCACCGATTTGTTTGGCAGTCTTCTCACTTCCTGGCTGTGTCATAGTTGGCAACAAACCAATCACAGGTTTCCTTTAAAGCTGCAAGTGAAAAGAACCAGGCAAGTCAGTTAACTGATGGAGTCTTTTGAAATTTCTACACTGATAGCATCTAAATGTCAAGCTTTACATCAGCCGCACCTTGGTTGAAGGGGGTGAAAGTGAAGTCTGGCAGATACCGGCACAGCTTTGCATTGCTGGCCGTCTTTTTGAACTGTCCGTCTGCTTTACTGGTGTCAAACTGAATGTCACGGGTAAAGGAAACAACGAGACAACAAGAAGCAATGTTGGGGTTTGCTCTATAGTAGTCTACAGTCTTTAGCTTACAACATAAAGCGCTTTGAGGCGACTGCTGTTGTGATTTAGCGCTATATAAATAAAACTGAACTGAATTTAACATTAATCTTCCAAATCCACTGTCAAAAACAAATAACTTGCATTACTGAAAGGATACCACAACTTCTCCTTTAAAGCCCAATGCGCCAACAACAGCTTCTGCTGCTTCTTTGATGGACACTTCATCTTCCTCACCAACTGGAAGCAACAGATGTAGCATTATAAGAACACTTCTCCTTAAACTGCCATCATCACTGCATAGTCATAGAGTCTATGAGGACTCACCAGAGAGAATGATTGGCTCAACTTCTGGATACTCCCTCAGGACCCAGAGGAAAAGACGAGCCAGGTCCAAAGAGTAGATGAACTGCCTTCTAGGTGTGCCAGAGCCCCAGACCACCAAGGGTTTCCCCTCCTCTGAACAGTACAACATGTAGATGAAGTCACGTGTCCATTTACACCACCAAAAACTTGTAAATGCTTAAAGATAAATGCTGGAATGTCGATGTTTTTTTTTGGGGGGGGACTTAAAAATTCACAACTTACTTTGAGCAATGTATGCTTTATGTATAAGACCTGGTAGCACATGACCATCTTCGATGCTAAAGTTGTCATGAGGACCAAACACATTAGTGGGAATCACAGCTGTATAGCAACGCCCATGCTGCTGTAAATACGCCCTGTAGAGCACACACAGGAAAAAAATGTCATGAGGCTGAAAATTTTAAATGCATTTCCTGAAAAATAGGCAGAGACATCATGCGAGGGTGACACATAGCAGAGAATTCTCAAACACTAATATGGCGAATGTCCTGTGAAACTATACACATGCTAAACAGAAGTATAACTAAAAACTGTTGGGATTATGTTGGTCAGCCGCAAGATCA